TAATAGGTAAATTAATGTTTTTTGAATTTAAATTGAGTTTGTTGAATAATTCTTGAGTCATGAAATTAGCTTGACTGCCAGAGTCCAACAGAGCCCGACACTGTACCGGTTGTCCATTAGAATTGAATATTTTTACTATCGCTGTTTGCAATAAAATTTGTGAACATATAGGATAGTTACAATGAGCATTTATTATTTGGTTATTTTGAGAATTAATAGTTTGATTTTGTTCGTTATTTGAGGTGGTGGAGTTATTATTTTGGGGTTGCATGCTACGGTTAATGTTAGAATTATGATTTAAGTTTGGTAAAATTTCAATGTGTAAAAGCGTATTATGTTTTTTACCGCATTTTTTGCATGAACCAGAAAAACATGAATTAGTGGAATGTCCTGATTTTAAACAATTTATACATAAATTTAGTCTTTTTATTTCATTAAAACGTTGCTTGGGATCAAGTGCCAATAGTTTTTGACAATAAAAAATGATATGTGAACCCTTACAAAATTTACAAGTGATATTTTGATTATTATTTGTTTCATTAGTTGATACGTGTGAGTATGATTTAACGAAAGTTTTATCATTTTTAGTTTCAATAGTCTCTAAAAGTTGACATCTTTCATTGAGAAATTTTGTAAATTCTGTTAGAGTTGGGAGTTCAGATGCTGTTGTTTCTGATTCCCACTCTACTCGAGTTTCAGTACTTAATTTTGTAGCTAGTAAATAAATTAATAATGTATCCCATTGATCTACAGGTTGTTTTAGAGATTGGAGGCATCTAAAATGAATTAAAAAGTTGTCTAGTAATTTTCGCAATTGTACATGTGATTCCTTTGTTACTTTAGGCAGTTCAACAATATTTTTTATGTGTGAGTATATGATTATTTTATTGTTTAGATACCGTTCCTGAAGCATTTTCCAAGCAATGTCATAATTTGCGTCTGTTGCTTCAAGAGCCTTAAGGACACCTGAAGCCTTACCTTTAAGAGCAGACTTAAGAGTAAAACTTTTGAATATTGGTGAGGGAGTTGTTAGTGTGGATTAATGCTTTAAAGGTATCGTGAAAGCTCAACCAATTTTCATATTGACCAGAAAATTCAGGTAGGCTAATTCGTGGTAATCTTATATTAGCTTCCTTTGAACTGGTTTCTGATGACGTGATAGAGCTTAGAAGACGTTCGGCATGTGCTGCTAACTCATAGTATTTTTCTTCTATGGCTATTCTATATTCAGACTCGTCATCTTGAGAAACCAATTCAATTTCTGTTTGTATAAGATTGAATTCGTTAAATGCTTCATTTAATTTTCGTATACGTACGCTTATATCAAAAAACTTTGCAGAGTTATCAGGGTTTTTGAGATATGTCTCGATTCTGGTGATAGACCCCTTAATAACACCTCGTCTTTGTGCTAAAGCTTTAATATCAGTCATATTTGCAAAACAAGATAACTAGCAATTGAAAAAATAATGAAATGTTGAGATTTATGTGAGATGTAAAAAAATTAAACAGCCTGTATAGCAACAAAATTGTAAATTGTATGAATGAATGAAGGTAAAAAATTAAATAAAAAAATTACTACTATTTACTTTAAATTTATGAATGAAATTAATTATTTATGATTTTAAACAAATTGTATAAATTGCACAAATTGAAGCAAATGGTAAAATGGGAGAATTGGAATGATGGAATGGACTTACTTTTGACGGTACATGTGCGACCTCGTGGCCTGGTTTGGTTAGATTTTTTCCAAAAATGATATTCTGGCTTGCAAACCTCTGGGTAGAGACGTGGACTGATGGAAGACGCGGTGAACCTTGTGAATTACGCGCTGGACCTCGTTGCTGGATCTTCCACGTGGTTGGATTTTCAAAATTGTCGATTATCCTGGTTCGAAGTGACCAATGTTGAGGATCTATAGGAAATCCTGGGTATTTTCTCTTATTGTGTTATAAATTGCGACTTGGTTTTGGATTTGAATTAAAATTAATTATTATAATATTTTGTGTTTTATTCTCGATGTTGATTGTATAACAATTTATTGAAGACTGTTACGTGTGCACCTATTACATAAAATTTTACCTTGGAGGGGAATGCGCACATGCGCTCTTCAACAAAGTACAAACTTATATAATATCTTACATTAATTAAAACGCTTAACAAAGACCCACAGCAACATTACCAACTATCCTTGCTTAAAATAGAAGTTTAAAAAAATATATTTAAGCATTTGAATGTGCACATATAAAAAAATGTTTTTTGTCTACATCCCAAAAACAAGAGCTGATTGAGCAAAATGATGGTCATTTTTGGATTAGGCGTACTCAAATTAACCCCTTTTTTGTAACCCGATTAATGCACCGGGGTGTGTCAAAAAATAAATCGATGATAGAAAACAATGCCAACAGTTTTTAAAGAATTTATATTGCCCATCATTGCATTAGCTCCATCAGCACCAAAACCTATATAATTTTGTTTGTAGGATACACTATGCGAGTTAAAAAAATTATTAAAAGTTGGTACATATTTTTAGCTGTAGCATCTGCAACCGGAATTAATATTAAAAATTCGTCTCTTACTTTTAAATTTTCTGTGTAACGTACAACAAGGGCTAAATTCTTTGTTGAAGAGTGATCTGTAGATTCGTCCACCAATAAAGAAAATTGTTTACATCTTGACTTAGTTATCAAATTGTTAAACAGTTCAATAGTTTTTTCAATAACATTTATAATAATTGCAGTACATTTTGTTCTAACCCATATAGCCCTACATCCTTTAGCGATGTTTTGTTTAGCAATAAAACTAGCTATTCTAAAATAATTTTGTTTTATAATTTTGTCGCTGGTACTGGTAAATATTTTTTCTGTTAAAGTGGGTTATTTTTTAAGAGTTTTTTTAATGTTTTATTGAATTGTTATGTTTTTTAACTGCCGCTATGCTTCCAGTATAGTCCTTACAAACACACTTTACATCGAAAGTAAGTATTACCTCTGTTACTTTTTAATTTAATTTTTAAATTCATTCATGTTCCTATTTCGTTCTATAGTTTTGAGCATATGACTTTTGTTTTTTGTCGGAGGCTGATTAATTTCTGTTTCAGTATCTGAGTCTGGGAAAGATCCTGTATCCGATTCCAAACCCGTTACTTTGTCGGAAGTCGATGATTTTGCCCTACTTGTTGTGTTGTGGCGATGGTTCCTTTGAAATTTCCGGTTCCTTTTTTTTTCGTAACAACCAGAAATGTTCTAATTTTACAATCTATCGAAAAAATGTGAATAAAAAAAATACTTACTTCTGGATCAGCAAAGTAGCTAAACTGTAAATCAAACCTATAGTATGGTTCTTGATTAAATAAAACTATAAAATAAAATTAAGTTTTATATTTGTTGCAAAAGAACTAATCCTCTAAATCTAAATACCTATGCGGGTTAAACTACGTTATACTTATTTAAATCGACAAAATCTGCTGCGACTGCATATATATATATATATATATATATATATATATATATTATTATTATTATATATGTGTGTATGAAAAAATATATAAATTTATTTATAAATGAAATAAAATATTTAACAAAAATAAATATTAAAAAATAAACAAAAAATTTTTACTTAATAAATAAATAATAATAAATAAATAAATAGTCATTTATTAGCATAAGCTATTTTACAAAAATACAAATAATTATATATAAACAAATACCATAGTTAAAATCACAAGTTTTCTAAATATTTCAACTCTATCACAGCTTTTTAATTCATTTGGGAGGCTATTTAAATAATACCAAACCATTAACAAAAACATTTTTTGTTATTTGCACCCTATCATAATTCCCCACATAAAAATCATTAATACTCCTAGTATTGTAATTATGGACACTTTGTACTAAAATTAATTTGTTGTTTAAATATGCATGAAGAATTTCAGCCTTGACTTTAAATTTAAATAATGTTTTAAAAACCACGTACTGTTTAACACTCAAAACACTTAATATATCAAGCATCATTTTGATTGGAGTATACCTGTTACATTTTAAAACAAAACAGTTAACCCTAATACTGATATATATATATGTATATGTTTGAAAAAAAATATATAAATTTATTTATAAATAAAATAAAATATGTAAAAAAATAAATATTAAAAAATAAACAAAACATTTTTACTAAATAAAACAAAACAGTCAACCTTAATGATATAAATATATATAATATATGTTTGGAACAAAATATAAATTTATAAATGAAATAAAATATGTACCCAACAAAATATAAATTTATAAATGAAATAAAATAAAATGTCCCCAACAAAATATAAATTTATAAATGAAATAAAATATGTCCCCAACAAAATATAAATTTTTAAATGAAATAAAATAAAATATGTCCCCAACAAAATAAAATTTTTTAAATGAAATAAAATAAAATATGCCCCCAACAAAATATAAATTCGTAAATGAAATAAAATAAAAAAAAATTTCAAAACAAATTATAATTAATACTAATCCTATAGTGTACTGTCTGGATCTGAAAAATACAAGGATTATCAGCAATGCAAATACAGGGGGTCCCAGATTTTAGAAGGACTTCACTAGCGGATGTATAAATTTATTTTAACTAAAAAAATTCCTATGAACCGCTGTACAAATATTTTTTCAGGAAATTAAATTAGTTTATAGTTAAGTAAATTTGATCTGTTGGGTGCTAAAAATTAATAATGTTTTACTTCCTTACTTTATTTTTCAGTTTTATATTTTATAAGTTTACAAAAAATATATCAAAAATTATTATAACTTTAACACCCTGTATCTCAGAAAAGAGCAATATTTGGTCATAGCTTCTTAAAAACTTTTTTAATTAAAATACATTTTTTATCTACTGGTATAATCCTGCTACTATGAATGAAATGGTTTTACCTGAGGACTCACTGGTACTATCGTACTGGGCTGCCCGTATTAGAAGGTCTTTCCTCGCCCGTTTTCGTTTCTTTTTGTTACGAATGCCTTCTATCAGGTCGCCTATTGCAGTCTTGAAGGTTTCATCCCTCCCATGACTCCCAGACTGCTTCTCGAGGAAAGTATTTAAGTTATTTAAGTACCTAATAGTACTTTCCTCGAGAGCATTCACCGGGCGTTTTCTCTTTGATGCCATTTGTCGACGAAGCGTACCGGTTTGTTGACGAATGGCATCATTAGAGGTCCCTGGTACAGGCACTGTAACTACCTCAACTGTGGCTTCATTATTTTCTTTCTCTTGCTCACTCTCTTTAGTTGTGGCCACTTTGTCTGAGGTAATTGTTCCCAAGCTATCCCATAGCTCAGGCAACGGCTCCCAAAGATCAGCCAACGGGGTCACATCTTTTGGTACATTTTGTTGTGAGCCATCTGTTCCAGCCTTTTGGTAATTACCACTACGTCTAAAAAAAGCAATGCAATAATTACAATGCTCTTAAAACGTTTGATACAATGTTGTTTCTTCAGACTCTAACAGGCCCTTCATTAACAAACAACGTCCTATCAAAAGCCATTCCTCCATTAAGCAAAAATACTAATTGCTTATTATGAAATGTTAAGTTTGTGTTTATTACTTACTTCCGGGCATAAACAAATTCCTCCAAGAATCCCATGGAGTCAAAAAAACGGCCACTTAACTTTTACACCTCCACCTGATCCCGAAGGCATTGTTCTTATGTCCTTTTTTTGTTGGCTGTATTTTTGCTGCAGCGAAGTCCAACGTTTCTCAACATCAACAGCACTAAACATTTCGTGCTGTTGATGGTCGTTCATTAGACGGGAAATAGTTTTCCACGAATTCTCCCTGGCCATCTTGTCTTTGAACAAGGAGTGTTTTTTGTTGTAAAGATTGGGAAACTGCACCACACGAATCAGCTCAGCTTCATCCATTATTACACATAAACAACACAAAACTTAATTCACAAATCACTTTTATTACCAAAAACACAAAACATAAACATAAACAAACGACAGCCATAGATAATAAAACGCAGCGACACTCACGGCGATCGCCAACACTAACCAATTCACAGACCTATTTTGTCCTTTTGCGCAGTTTTATACGCAAGAATAAGAACCAAAGTTAAAAATTATTAAGGCGCATTCATGCTCACTTAAAATAAGAAATAAGAATAAGATAAAAAGTTAAAACTGTGTAAAGTAATGGTTGCGTTCATGTTCATGAAAATAAGAAATAAGACTAAAGATAAATAACTTTTAACTTTGGTTCTTATTTTTGCGTATAAAACTGCGCAAAGGACCAAAGTGGGTCTGTGAATTATTTTGATGGGTTTTATGTGCTGGCCATGGAGCCATGGTGTTGGAAATCGCGTTGAGTGTCGCTGCCGATTGTTTATAGCCAATATAATCCACTATAATAAAATATAATTGTGTGACAACATTTTTTATTTCTTATGTTATCAGCATGAACGATCAATCGCGATCTTATTTCTTATTTTCATCAACATGAACGCAACCATTACTTTACACAGTTTTAACTTTTTATCTTATTTCTTATTCTTATTTCTTATTTTAAGTGAACATGAATACGCCTTTACCTATTAGGATTTATTTAAAATAAAGAAATTATAAGATCAAAATATTAAAAATAATAAAATGGGAACGTAAAATACCAGTGAAAAAAAATCACTAGAATATGGCATTTTAATAAAAGTTTTTACTAAATTACAAAAAAAATCACTGGATCTAGTGAAATTTTACTAGACCTGGCAACATTGCATTCAGTTCTGTTTGCTGTTTTGTGACAGCTTTTGACGTTATGCAAAATCTACAGAAATAGGAAGCTAAAAAACTTTCAACAACACCTAAAACAGAATTTACACCTTAATTATCACCCACTGATAAAATTACACTAAAATAAAGTTTTAAGTTGTTTATTATAATACCATTAGATTCTAATTTTTTAAGGTCTTCAAAAGGCAATTAATAGCTTTGTTCGCGGAGCCCATCCATGACTAGTTCCGTATCTGTATAGGGTAAATAATCACGAACCATGGTACGCATGCGCGATTCGGAACCGATCAAGAATTAACAAATCTCCGCGAACGCGTTTCTAACCGCAACCATCAGTCAGCTGTTTTGTGACAAAACTTTTTGGGGAATCTCCTTCCTGATAATTATAGTATTCAGAATTGCTAAATCGCTCTGCTAAATCATCAACAATCTCTTTGCTAACTCGAAAATGCTCCCTAAATACCTAGCTGATCATCGAACATGGGAACAATTTCTTCAAAATATGCAGTACTTTTAGGAACTTCAATTAAATCTAAACTATTTTCTAAATCTTCATCACTGGATGATAGATGATCACTCATCTATAAAATAAGCAAGGAAATGAACAATGCAAGTAAAAAATAAGTATTTCAACTTAGGTTTTCGTTTAACAATTTAATTAAAAACAATATAGAACATATAACCTAAAATAAACTTTAAACAATAATGAACAATACGCATGTCTGACAGCTAGTACATGCTAAAATCCTCGGATAGTTTTGACTTGTCAGTAATTAGTTCGAAACTGGTCCCGAAGGCTCCGCGAACGAGGATCAAATGTCAAATGTTGCCGATTTTTACACCGCGAACGCTAAAATTGCCAGTGCGCATGCGCAGTTGTCGCGGATTGATCACGGATGAGCTCCGCGAACAAAGCTAATAATAGCTTTAACTGTTGTGATCTCGGCACTTCGCCTAACAGTGCAAGATTGCCTTCTAACTGCTCATGGGCCGTCAAGTGTACAAGATTTGAAAAATTTTCAATATCACCAGTAACTAGGGGATACACCAGATAGTATTCGTTTAATGGAATATTTTCTCCTCTATCTGCAGTTCTCAATTATTCCTGTTCATTGTAATGCATAGAGTAATGGCTTTCAGGGTGGAAACTTGCTCTAGTCTATCGACAGCAGTCTCGGCGTCTTTAACACCGGCGAGAAGCTTTCTTTTTAAGCTATCTGCAATATCTAGGGAGACTCTCTGTGGGATTCACCACGACTTGCTTGATATGAAGAACGGCCTCTACCTCGAGATTTCATTGTGCGTGCACCGCGGGGCTTGAAATCGGGAAGATGTTCAACTAAATCACGTCGTTGGAATTCGGGATCTGAATTTACGAAATTCTTAGCTTCAAATGCTGGTTTTCGGGACATTTTTCGGCTTGATTCTCCTGACATCAAAGAGAGAAAAAAAATAATAGCTTAATTGCCAAATTTTTCTCTCTTAGAACTATAAAAAATTAAATAAGTAAAAATATTTTTTAATCTACTTTGGTGGTAGTGCAGCTATACTAAAATAGACAACACCAACCTTGTATACACCAGCGTAACTAGGTAGTGGGTTTAAAGTTTTAAAGTACAATATTAATGGAATTAATGGTTTCCCTTAACTCTTTTGTAATATATCTTCAAATATGAGATTGTTTTAAAACATAGGATTGATTCAGTCCCCGGTAGGGATATAAACTGATTTAGGGTTTCTGACACCAGAATAAAACTACAGGTTCTTTGTTTTAGTATCATTAATGTTTGATTATTTTAATTAGATACATCCGAAGAGGAACCAATTATTTTTAATTGAGGTTCTATATATTTTTCACTGCGGTAAAAATATAATAAAATATAATTGTGTGACTACATTTTTTATTTCTTATGTTATCAGCATGAACGATCAATCGCGATCTTATTTCTTATTTCTTATTTTCATCAACATGAACGCAACCATTACATTACACAGTTTTAACTTTTTATCTTATTTCTTATTCTTATTTCTTATTTTAAGTGAACATGAATACGCCTTTACCTATTAGGATTTATTTAAAATAAAGAAATTATAAGATCAAAATATTAAAAATAATAAAATGGGAACGTAAAATACTAGTGGAAAAAAATCACTAGAATATGGCATTTTAATAAAAGTTTTTACTAAATTACAAAAAAATCACTAGATCTAGTGAAATTTTACTAGACCTGGCAACATTGCATTCAGTTCTGTTTGCTGTTTTGTGACAGCTTTTGACGTTATGCAAAATCTACAGAAATAGGAAGCTGAAAAACTTTCAACAACACCTAAAACAGAATTTACACCTTAATTATCACCCACTGATAAAATTACACTAAAATAAAGTTTTAAGTTGTTTATTATAATACCATTAGATCCTAATTTTTTAAGGTCTTCAAAAGGCAATTAATAATAGCTTTAACTGTTGTGATCTCGGCACTTCGCCTAACAGTGCAAGATTGCCTTCTAACTGCTCATGGGCCGTCAAGTGTACAAGATTTGAAAAATTTTCAATATTACCAGTAACTAGGGGATACACCAGATAGTATTCGTTTAATGGAATATTTCCTCCTCTATCTGCAGTTCTCAATGATTCCTGTTCATTGTAATGCATAGAGTAATGGCTTTCAGGGTGGAAACTTGCTCTAGTCTATCGACAGCAGTCTCGGCGTCTTTAACACCGGCGAGAAGCTTTCTTTTTAAGCTATCTGCAATATCTAGGGAGACTCTCTGTGGGATTCACCACGACTTGCTTGATATGAAGAACGGCCTCTACCTCGAGATTTCATTGTGCGTGCACCGCGGGGCTTGAAATCGGGAAGATGTTCAACTAAATCACGTCGTTGGAATTCGGGATCTGAATTTACGAAATTCTTAGCTTCAAATGCTGGTTTTCGGGACATTTTTCGGCTTGATTCTCCTGACATCAAAGAGAGAAAAAAAAAATAATAGCTTAATTGCCAAATTTTTCTCTCTTAGAACTATAAAAAATTAAATAAGTAAAAATATTTTTTAATCTACTTTGGTGGTAGTGCAGCTATACTAAAATAGACAACACCAACCTTGTATACACCAGCGTAACTAGGTAGTGGGTTTAAAGTTTTAAAGTACAATATTAATGGAATTAATGGTTTCCCTTAACTCTTTTGTAATATATCTTCAAATATGAGATTGTTTTAAAACATAGGATTGATTCAGTCCCCGGTAGGGATATAAACTGATTTAGGGTTTCTGACACCAGAATAAAACTACAGGTTCTTTGTTTTAGTATCATTAATGTTTGATTATTTTTATTAGATACATCCGAAGAGGAACCAATTATTTTTAATTGAGGTTCTATATATTTTTCACTGCGGTAAAAATACTGCAGTCTTTTTTATTCAGAATCTAACGGCTCAAAGCATGTTGTCAGAAAATCTACATTACTGTCTGAAGAAAAAATAAATTCTTTTAAAATATTTAAGAATCCCGCACCAAAACCTTTTTTATATAATCTATATTTTTTTGTATAAAAAACGAGGAACAGATATTTTATTGTGTAGGTTTTTAATGATGATCTTTTAAAATATTATTAAACTCTGTAGCCTTTGCATCTGCATTAAAAACAAAATTGGGTTCGCCGCTTAGTACTTCATTATCAGAGTTAGTCGAAATCCAAGCACCGACCTGTTGTTGAAATATTTGATTTTTATTCTAATATGTGACTCTTAAAATTATCTCGTCTGCTGAAAAATCTTATGCAAATTGGACAGTCGTAGTTTTATTTCATGAAATGAGCATATTCTAAATGGATTATGAATTTGTTAATATTTCTATTGCTGAAACTTGTATTACAGATCATTGCGTAAAATTAAAAAGAAGGCAGTAAGTTGAACTATATTTGCAAGATTTGTTAGAAAACAACAAAGGCTTGTCTATGCATGTGATAATTTTTTACTTCTTACTTCACTAAAATTTATTCTTAGGTCTTGTGAAAATCCTATATTTTCACTATCAATTAGAACATTTTGAAAAAAATTAACAATATAATCATTTAATTTAATTTTTATAAGGTCTGTAATGTTACCTGTAATTTTATTGTCAAGGACTAGTATGTTTAAAAAAATGCTTTAAATACCATACCATATACACTGACCGGCAAAAGTATGGAATTAATTCATTAAAAAATTTGAATTTTTTTCGACAAAAAAAAATAACTTTTTAATTTCGCACATTTTGATGTAAAATTTTCATATTTGTCGCCATTTTTGTGGAAGCTATGACGTCATCGGCCGTTTTTTAAAATTGTACCCCCTCTTTTAGTTCGTAGGTGCCCCGTCCTGTTGAAAACAAACGGTATCACTTGGTAGATCGGGACCTCCATTCTCATTGGGAAACCTTTTCCGCTGATGTTAAAATAAGAGAGTTTTGCAAAAAGTCCAAATACGTTTGTCATATTCTCGTCAAAGAAGAAAGGGCCTATGATCCAAATTTCCCACCATTTCTGCACAGACATTCACTTTTTGCCGGTATTGGGAATTTGCCTCTACTACCCAATAATGATTTTCTCTGCTCCTGTATCTACAATTTTGATGGTTGACAATACCATTCAAACAGAAGGTAGCTTTGTCCGAAAAAAGTATTTTACAAGGACATTGTGGATTATTTTTACATAAATTCATCATAATTTCAGAAAATTGTAGTCTACGGTCTGGATCATCTTCGTTAAGTTCCTGAACTAGTCTAATTATGTATGGATGGTACTTTTATTTCTTTATAAGACGTAATACTGAGCGTTGACTGACTTGACTTTCAGCTGCGACTAGGCTTCTTCCACACGTAACAATATGTCAATTTTAGTGTCCTCACAAATACTCAGACGGCTGGGCAACAAGCTTACTTTTACTAAGCATGTTAACTCGCTGAAGGGTAGACTTTTTAAGGCCATTAGCCAATTATACCTAATAATTTGGCAAATCCAGCCCACTTAGCATCGAAAATAAGATAATTCTTTACAAATCCGCCATTTGGCCAATAATGACGTACGGATGACTAATCAAGTCAAAGGTTTTTTTACTTATTTTCCCCTATAAAAAGCACAAACTAATAATTCTAAAACACTAACCAAGTCTTCAACATTAAACCACAGTACACTTCAGATTCGCTATGCAAGGTAAATGTTATAATACAAAATAAAACTAGCAGGATGATTGTATGTACAAATTTAACACCGATTGCACTAAGTATAACACGTACTTGCCCCCACTTGCATATTATGTTATATTTAACTGCGTGCCAAAGCAACTACCGACCGCGTGTGGTCTGACAGTCTTGCTTTTAACACAATGGAACTATCCTGTAATATATCTTGTTAATAAGAAAAATGTATATAGTATAAATAAACTAATTTTGCCAGAGCGCGAGGACAGCACCTCCGCGACTGTATGCTTGACACACAGCCTTGTTTTAGGTTTTCTAAATCTGAGGTTTCTATAATAATTTTAGATGAGCCGCGTTTTCTAACTTATTGATTTTTATTTCTAGGTGATGCCTTTAAAAATGGTCGTATAGCCTTTGGCGTTAATAATTCAAGTCCACTTAAAGAAAATAAATTTGGTGAGTGGTAAACTTTAAGGAGTTTGGCTGATTGTCTAAAGTTTCAGAATTTTGATCGTCTGCATGATTTTGAGTTTCAATAATGTTGGTTGAAGTTTTTGACGATTGACCACCAGATTTTACATCGTTAGAATTAGGGTGTGGTCCAACAGAAACATATGAGGTTAAGAAGTCCTCATCAGAAAATATTTGCAAGTTAAAAGGAAAAATTCATAATTTTCTAAAACCAGTTATTATGTTTTTTAAGGTAAAAGCCTTCTCGTAGGCTTCTATCGCCAGTTTTGGGATACTAAATGGAAACTGTAAAACCGAAATTTAAAAGCATTGTTTAAGGCCACTTTATAATAAACTTTGAATGTACCGAATACTGCAACATCTAATGGCTGTAGCTTATGGATACAATGCGGTGAAAGGGTTAAAGTTACCACGTGGTTTTGCGTGAACAATAACGTCTAAGCTTTAATGATTATTAAGCAATAAAAGAACGGGGTTTTTTGTGCTAGGTTTGGTATATTTTATAAAACCCTCAAATACAAAAAAGTTTCCGATGTCATTCATACCTTTTGGTTTGCTAAGCCTTTGCTTTTAACTGGGTAATCCACTATCATAAATGATTTAAAATTAACACGTGGAGAAACAAACGCCGGCATAGTAACTAATTGGCCTCTCTCAGCAGACACAGCATGCCCTACTTGTTTTGCACCTTTTGAGGCAACTAGGTAAATCAGCAACAGTTAACAAACTAGTTTTATCCGCATTGTACAAAAGGTGGCCAAATTATTAGGGACAGTACTAAGATTTTAGTGTTCTCTAGTTTAAATGCATTTTTTAAACAATAATTGGTTGTAGGTTTCATAGGTACTTTTTATTTACAAGGGTGTGTTATTGACATCATAAAAACAAAAACAATTTATGCAGTTCATTTTGTTGTGTCCTCCTTTGTACAATAATTTAAATTCATGTTAAAAATAAGGCTAATGAACAATAATGTATTTGTATGTCAAATTTCTTTTTTTATTAATTGCAGGTCGATCCCCAAGTAAGATTTTTTCAATCTGCTTGTCTAAAATGACTTTTTGTGTGGCTTTTATGTCTAACAAATGTTGTATAACATTTTTTATCTAAAATATAATATTTATAAATACATATTAAGCAGAGTACTTACAACTTACTATTCCTTCAGCTCTATATCGTTTAACATATTAGATCAAGTAGCAGAGCTGGGCGGTACTTAAGTTGCACAAGTACAGTTAAATCCCGCTATAACGAAGACGCAAAGGGAATTCGTTATATCAAAATCTCGCTATATCGGAACTATTTAATTTTAATATTATGTTCAAAAAATTCATATTTTTTGTTGGTTATATTCAAAACTTCATTTTAAAGATGCTGGGCGACACAAACTCGTATGACTAATTGTTGGAACTTTCTGTCTCTTAAAATGACAAGTTAAGCAATTATATTCGTACAGTATGTTTCGTTTAAAAAATAAATAATAGCCAACAAAAGATTGCAGTTGCATAATATTATACTTTTATTAAAAAAATGTTGGTAAAAAAGGGTTTGACTAATGGTGTAGTACGAATTTAAAAAAAAATATCTGAATAGGTAGGATAGGTACCTATAAACTTTCAAGTATTGAATGGGTCCATAACTAAACTAAGTCAGCGCGAAATGAAAAAGTCTTATTCCATCGCTAGACGGACTACTATACCTACCTTAAAACCGATGTAATTAGTGTTAAAATTATTACAGCAAAAGAAAACACGTAAATCATAATAATGCTTTATTTGTTTGCATTTTAATGCTTTACAAACATTCCTAAATTAAATAATAAAAATTTTATATCAAGGAACGTATAACTCTCCGATCCATAGGTTAAAGAACAGACGATGCATTGGGTGGTAGAAAAAATATTTTGATATTTTTTTATTTTTTATTAATTAGAAGGATGCGTCTCTTGGTTTTTACTAGTTTCTTATCCCAGTGAAGAAGTTTTTTTTAAACAATTTCGATGTCATCCACGCTTTTTTGTTGTCATTGTAATCTACAGGTAGATTTTGGACTTTTTCCAATTATAAAAATCCGTTTTTTTTCTCTGTACCGGTCATATTTGCGCACACCCAGACAGTAATTCTTTCCTTTGACAATTTATGTTTATAGTATAGCCCCATTCCTGTAACCAGACCACAACGGCCTTTTTGTCCACACTTTTAGCTTCCCCACAAATCTTTGCACACCCGATATTGTTTTTTTTAACCTATTAACCCAGATAACACTGTAACATCCCAGAAACATACTAGAAACATATGTCTGGGATAATAGAAACATCTCTAGAATGTCCCTATTTTCCTTGAAACATCTCTGGGATGTTGCTGGCAACAGCCATGTCATCATTTGCGATGTCCTACAAACATCCCATCAGTATGTTTCTGGGATGACGTGGGATGTATCTCATACATTCTGGGAACATCCTTAGGACGTTTTTAGTATGATGTGGGATGTACCTCATACATTCGGGGAACATCCTTAGGATGTTTTATTTTGTCTTTACTAAATGACTTTTAGAAAGGTTTAAAATAAATCGAAAGTTTTCAAAATAAATTTTATTTTGAAAGGACACAGTATATAAATAAACTTAAGTTAAACAAAAATAAAAAACTGAAAACCAGTTGGTTGTAAATACTAATACATACTAATAACATAAATTTTAAACAAGGTACTTTAGATCTAAAAGTAAATACATTAATTTAATTCATTTTTTTTTGATTCCGTTCTTAACCTTCTTTCTTTTGCCCTTCTTAACCAATCTCCAATTCGTTGCTCAGCCTCTTTGTAATTAATTGAATGCCCCGATTTCTGTGCAGATTCTGAAATAAAAATTTTATTGCTAAGAAAAAGTTTCCAGGTAACTACCAACATAGAAATAAGAACCAATATTTATTTACCGATTATCGCTTTGGCTAAAGATAAGCTTCCAAACATGGTTTTTCCTTTTTTTCCTAAGAAGGAGAACTGTTCAGCTAGACTATCTGTTATTATGGGCGCAAGACATTGTCTAATAAATTCATAGGTGTTGTTACCTCCAAATTGTGCAAAAAACTGAACCTATAAATCAGAAAAAGAACATTACTCACAAATGTAACTTTATGGAAATTCTAGGGTGATAGATAAAAAAAATTACCAATGCTGAATAATTTTCAGAATCTGAAAGAAAATTATCAAAAACTTCTAAATTTTCTTTTGTTGTAATAGGGAAGTTTACTTTAGATTTTTCCAAAATATTTATTTTTTCTTCTTTGCGATATTCCGCTCCACATTTTCCCACTTTGGAATTAATTTCTAACAGCAGCGACTGTATATTATACAATAACTGTGGATTGCAACAACAAGTGGTACCTGTTTTAGATGATTTACCTAAAATGCATTCATTGGGTACACTAACAGTTTTAAGAACAGCTCACAAAACTCACCTATACTGTTTACATTGTCCTTTATTAATTCTAGGGCGCTTTTCGAAGTTGATGGAATAGGGTTCTTTTCAAAAAAACTACTGCTTGGCTGTAAATCTGTAACAGAGTAAAATTTAATTAGTATTGGCATAAGTTCGCTAACCCAAAATGATAATAAAAGCCTGGCTCTATAGTTTTAATTTGGGTACCAGTGTGTCTGGGTGTTTTTAAAAGGGTTCTTGGATCTTTAGGGAAATCTGAACAGTTTTTTCTTAAAATATCTAAAAGACTGGACAATGCAATATGATTTATGTTATGTGTTACAGCCCATTTTGCTAACGAACATGCTAAAGGTACCTCTTGGTTTTTCTGCTCTTTTTCATTAATAAATAAATGTTGTGGTTGCTTAGTTTGATCAATATTACTTTCATCTGAACTATCTGTGTCTAAACCATGATCTAAATAATCAGACATAAACTCAGGAAGGTCGGCTTTCTGACTCTCAATACCTGGATACTCAAATTCTAAAGCCTGCGAGGAAGGTTCACAAACTACTTCCTCAATATTTATGTTACTATTTTTACTGTTTTCACCTTGTTTGAGACGTTTAAAACGTTGACTAAGTTTATTAAAAAGCTTCCTTTTCTCCCCGGACTCCATTAAAAATTAATAAAAAATTTAAAAAAAAAATGTTTATAATAATTATTAAACTTACCAAACAGCAATCCAAACTTTTTAAAATGAACTAATAGCAGTATAAAAAAGCGGTCAAAGAATAAAAAGCAAACACAAACACTTCAGCAGACACTGTTTTACGCCGCCATTTTGCCATTTATCAAACCTCATCGCACATCCCTTTCCGTTTCAATCGCGGGATTTTTAAAACTTTGAAATTACGAACCATCGTCGACTGAGTTATTATAAGTATCCTAACAGTTAGGCTAACTAGTTAGTATACTGTTAGACGTAAGTTTAAAAAGCCGTACTAGGTTAGGTGGCCACTGGAGGGCGCCACTACTCGGATGGTAAAAACGGGAGCTGCCATCCCGACGGAGAAGAAGAAGAAGAGAGCGTTGTTTTGGAGTAGATAAGCTTGGTGTCATTTTTAATTTTAAAATAAATTAAAACAGTTTACCGGTCATATTATTTAAAATACCTGACAACAAATTCAGAAGTGAGATCTGGATCGAGAGTGCAGTGCCTGGAGATAAGTGAATTGGAGAAAATAAGTGGTGATTAACTGTTGTTGTAAAAAGCCGAATTGTGGTTAGGTGTGCCACGTGCTGAAATTCAATTGGAGACAAAAGGAGGACAATTATTACGTTTAATTGGAGACTTAGTTGGAGTAGAGTCGAAACAAAGGTGAGGCGCATTCGTTATATTAATAGTTGGAGAAATTTTAGAGTTTTTATAAAATGAGCGACCACCTGTCGATCAATTTGAAGGATGACGAGGCTATGCTGAGTCAGTCAGAGCAGGGTTCACGCAGGGAGACGGCTGCCGGTCAAAATGAACCAGTTGCTGACAACATGGCTGTAATGCGTGGCTTATTTAAGGAGTTGCTCGAGCAGCAAGGACGGATGTTGCTTGATCAGCAGCGTCGAACAATAAGACAGGAGTCACGTCTAGCTGTGGGAGAATGTATGGAGGAAATCGCTAGTACGCCATCTAGCCATAGGTACGACAAGTCCTCAAGCAACTATCGAGGTGGGGTTATAAGCTTGGGACAGGAGCTGGTGATGCCGTTTAACCCTGAAAATAAGAGCACCAATGTGGAGAGGTGGCTCGAGAGAGTTCAGGAGTTAGCTGAAGCTAATGCGTGGACTGATAAGGAGCAGTTGCTAATCGCGCAGGCCAAATTGGAGGGGGCTGCTCGTGAATGGTACAATGGTGTCCGAGCTCCGAGAACGTGGGAGGAATTTTCAGGAGGTTTGACAGCGGCATTTCCAAGGAGAGCTGATTTTGCTGACACCCTTAAGCAAATGGTGCTTAGAGTCAAACAAGATGGAGAGAGTTTGACTAATTATTATCACCGAAAGTTGGAGATGATGCGTAGAGTGGACCTGCATCAGGGGGAGCGTGCAGTTTCGCTGCTTATTCAGGGCTTGCCGGAGGATCTCAAAATTGGAGCTTTGGCGTCCAACTGCAAGACCCCTGAAGCATTGTATACGAGGTTTTTGACTTCGGTGCAGGCAGGGCAAGAATCCTCCAAGGAGCAAAGATTGGAGAAGAGAAGTGGAGCCTCTACCAGCGGCGTGTCGCGGATTCGCTGCTACAATTGTCAGGAGATGGGGAACCATCTAGGCAAGGATTGTCCTCAATCAGCCTGGCCTGACAATGGTGGTCAGACAGGGCAAAGCCATGTTGTTGGAGGAGGAGAGTCCCGACAAATGGATGAGCAGCTTTGGTATGCCTGAAGTGGAGGAGGGCAAATATGTGATTCGGCTAGCAGAAGAGCTATGTTGCGAATCATTTGCATCTCAGATGGTCAAGGTCGATGTGAGTGGTAAACAAGGTGGCGATTTTGTTATGGTGGACAAAGTTGTAACCACTGAACACGGCTACCTCATGATACATGGCCAACTTCTGAAGCTGGGAATGGAGAACCAGTTGCTGAAGGTGACCAATCTCACAAAAAAGGAGATTCATTGGAGAAAGGGGCGTGTATTGTTTCGTTTGGAGTTAGGAGGCAACAAGGAGGCCAAGGCTGGAGAGAAAAAGAAAGCAACCAAAACTACACAGGTGAATATTATTAGTTTAGGTGATAAAATTGGGCAAGTAAAAATGGGGGATGTGTCTGATTTATGTAAGAATGAACTAATGACATTATTAAAAAGTAGGGAGGCATGTTTTTCTAAAAATGATGTTGATGTAGGTTTCACGACGATAGGTAAAATGGAGATTAAAACAACAACTGATGTACCGATATTTCACAGACCCTATCGATTGTCACACTCAGAGCGAAGTTTGGTGAGAGAAAAAATACAAACACTTAAGGAGGCTGGTGTTATCCAAGATTCAGAGTCCAATTACGCTAGTCCAGTGGTGTTAATACCAAAGAAGACAGGAGATGTGCGCATGTGCGTAGATTATCGTGCTCTTAATGCAATAACGGTAAAGGACAGGTACCCATTGCCGTTGATTGAAGACCAATTGGAGAAATTGAGTGGCAAAAGGTATTTTACTACCCTGGATATGGCTCAAGGCTACCATCAGATGGCAATGCATGAGAATTCGGTGGCAAAAACAGCATTTATAACACCTGATGGTCACTACGAGTATTTGAGGGTTCCATTTGGTCTGGCCAACTCCCCAGCTGTATTTCAACGAATGGTGGACAGAATGTTGGGTGAATTGAGACACAAGGAAGTGCTAGCATACATGGATGATATCTTAATACCTTCACATGGAGAACAAGATGGTCTTAAGTTATTAAACGCTGTGTTAAAACTAATTGAAGAGGCTGGTCTGAAGCTGAGATTGGAGAAATGTTCATTTATGCAGAATGATATTGAGTATTTGGGACATGAAGTATGTGGTGAAGGCATAAAGCCTGGAAAACGCAAAATACAAGCTGTTCTTGATTTTCCTTGTCCGACAAATGTACGAACGGTGAGACAATTCGTTGGATTGGCATCTTACTACAGGAAATTTATCGAGGGATTTTCTGTGATTGCCAAACCGTTGACCAGTCTAACAAAAAAGGATGTCGCGTGGAAATGGGGAGAAGAGGAACAAGGTGCCTATGAAAAACTAAAGGAGTTGCTAAGTCAAAGACCAGTTCTAGCTATATATAATCCTCAAGCTGAAACCCAGGTGCATACTGATGCCAGCAAACATGGACTTGGTGGCATTTTGATGCAACGAGTTGGAGACAAAGATTGGAGACCAGTAGCATATTTTAGCAGATGTACTACCACTGCTGAACATATGTATCATAGCTACGAGTTGGAGACTTTAGCTGTCGTGGAGTCAGTGAGGAGATTTCGAACATATTTGGTGGGCATTCACTTCAAAATCATCACTGATTGTGTTGCCATAAGATCAACTCTGTTGAAACGAGATTTGGTGCCTCTAATTGCTAGATGGTGGTTGGCAATACAAGAATATGATATGGAGGTTGAGTATCGAGCTGGAACCAAAATGCAACACGTGGACGCTTTGAGCAGAAATCCACTTGAATTGGAGCGTTGTATTGAAATAAATTTGGTTACCATGAATGAAACTGACTGGTTTTTGTCGGTGCAATTGCAGGATTACAAAGCAAAGCAATTGGTAATGACTTTAAACTCGAATATTGCTGACAGAGAGACACAGAAGTTATACAAAGTTAAACAACAACGATTATATCGCATAACAGATAATGGAGATCGATTGTATGTACCCAATATGGCCAGATTTACGCTGTTAAGAAGGTACCATGATGATATTGGTCATCCAGGAGTCGATAAATGTGCAGAATTGGTAAAAAAGGAGTATTGGTTTCCCAAAATGAATAAGTTCATTAAAAAGTATGTTCAATCGTGCATAAGATGTGCATTTTCAAAAGGTGACTATGGAAAAGGAGAAGGATATTTGCATCCAATAGACAGGAGGCCAGTGCCTTTTGACACTGTGCATATCGATCATTTGGGCCCATTCATGAAGAGCACTAGGAAAAATTCCTACTTGTTGGTGTTGGTGGATGGATTCTCGAAATTTGTCATAGCAAAGCCAACTAGAACAGTCAATTCAAATGAGACCATTGAGAAACTGATGGAGATATTTGGTGAATTTGGATATCCCAGGAGAGTTATTAGTGACAGAGGTTTGGCTTTCACTAGCAAACAATTTAAAGCATTTCTGGAGGAAAAATGTGTGCGACACGTTTTAAATGCTATTGCAACCCCTCGGGCAAATGGGCAAGTGGAGAGAGTAAATAGGAGTTTAATACAGGCGATCGGAGCAAGTGCCTCTAGTGAAGCTAGGTGGGACGAAAAATTACCAGAGATTGTATGGGGATTAAACAATACAATAAACAGGAGTACGAAATTCGCACCTAGTGAATTAATGTTTGCACATGGAGAAAGTCGCGGTTTAGTTGTTGAATTGGAGACTGGAGAGCGCGCTAATGTTGGAGAAGGAGAACAGGCAAAGGGAGGTGGTAAAACTGCAGCGACCACAAGAAAATCAGGAGATGCTGGAGAGGAGAGCCTGTCGGGTGCTGGAGGTAGTAAGGAGACTATAGGAGGCAAATCAACTAACACCCAAAAGCTTAGAGATGACGATCTCGCACAAGCTGTAGATTTGCGACAACAACTAACACGAAAACGCGCATTGGCTGCAGAAAATATACAAAATGCTGCTCATAAGATGAAAACTGCTTATGACAAACGACGAAAAGTAGCTATTAAATACAAAATTGGTGATTTGGTGTTATGGAGGCATGGAGCTACGAATAAATGTCAAAAGGGCCTAAATCGCAAGCTTGCAAATAAATATGATGGACCTTTCAGGGTGTGCAAGGTAAACAGCAATGACCGATATGTCATTGAAGCCATAAAAGGAGTAAAAGGCTACAAAAGGTTCAAAGCGCATGTCGCAGTGGATGCATTGCGTCCATACAATAGTGTTAATGATGTAATGAGTGATTATGAGAGTGAGTCTGAGTGAATGTGGGGCCCCCTTGAAAGAATGTGTGTGAGAATGTTGTATGTAATGATTCTGTATTATTAATAAACTTTCTTTCCCTTTCAGGAACAAAAAAAAAATGGTTTGTGTATTACTAATAAACTTTCTTTCCGTTTCAGCAACA